TTACGGAAAAGCTGTATGTCCTGTTCATGGAGATGAAGCTCTTTAAATCCAAATTGGAACTCCTTTTGCAATTTTTCCAGTGAATCCACACATGTTTTGTTTGGGAATGCAACCAATGGTTTTTCCGCTAACAGATTTTGAGTTGTGGGGAGATGGCAGAAGTTTTCCTCCTTCACTTGTTTGATGAGGAGGCCTAATTTTACTTCAAATGCTTTGACATGTGATTGCATATCACAGATGAGCTTCCCCTTTCCTTGAAGTTGCACATTGAAACTGTTGAGTAGCTCTGTTACATCTGTCAGAAAGGCAAGGTGCCATTTCCATTCTGCATCATTGAGCTCTGGTACTTCTTTGTTTTTTTAAAGCAGAAAAGCTGTAATCTGTGGAAGTAAGTCATAGAAACGTTTCAAAACTCTCCCTCGACTCAGCCAACGGACTTCTGTTCTGTGTGATACAGAACATCTTCATAGTCAACATTTAGCTCAGACAGAAATTCCTGAAATTGTCTGTGGTTTAGTGCATGAGCTCTAATGAAGTTAACACAAGATACCACAAATTTCATAACAGAGTCCCACTTCAGTGATTTACTACACAGCGCTTGTTGGTGGATGAGACAGTGTATGGCTATTGGATGAGAATGGTTATGTTTGTCCATCTCTTGGTTAATGCGAGAAATTACTCCTTTCTTAGACCCCACCATGCTAGGAGCACCATCAGTTGTCACACTGGCTAGTTTAGCCCAGTTCAGCTCCAAACCATTCACAGTTTGGCAAACCTTTTCATAGATATCCTCTCTTCTTGGTTCTTTCGGTAAAGTCACGTTGAAGGGAAGTAATAAAATAATAAAAATAAAACATAATAAAATAATTCTCACGACGTTTCGGCCACAACGCAAGCAGCCGTCCTCAGGTGAAAACCAGGTCTGTCGGGGAGACAGCGTCTGAATGAAACAGCACACGAGCTTGGAGCATATATAAGCTGGGTTGGAAACGGGGGAAAGAGCGCCTTGACAAAATAATTTGCATATCAAGAGGAATTTAGCATATGTATGGGAAATGCAGGAATGTGATTAGTACTACATATGCCCGTGCTGTCCAATGCGTTGGCGTGTGCAGCAGTTTGTCTCTTGCGCACAATCGCTTCCACGCCGTCGCCCACCCTTTTGGCCCCGCCCCCCTCCCTCCCGATACGTTCCATTCATTGGCTACCACATTCTGATGAGCTCCCCCCCCCCTCTCTCCTCCCCCCTCAACTCGCTTTTAAGGGATTACATCTTGAATCATTGCCTCACTTGATGCAACTAATCTGGCTGTGACGGTCCCACCTGATGACGGAGACTTGTGTTGCCTCCGAAACGTCGTGATCTTTATTTTATTTTATTTTTATTAATTTTGATGTTTTACCTACGTGACTTTACCGAAAACACCTAAGAATATGAATCCTTGCAGTTACGAAAGCTTCAAATCTAGAAGTATTTTTCAGTTTTAATATTTTATCTTTTCTCACTTCTCCGACCAAACAATCATATTTATCTTTATGTTGAGTTTCATAGTGTCGACGTAAATTGTATTCTTTGAACACAGACACTATATTCTGGCATATCAGACACACAGCTCTTTCCTTGTACTGCATGAAAAAGTAATCATAAGTCCACTGTTCTTTGAATATCCTACACTCCGAGTAAATTTTTCTCTTTCTTGACATCATTGTTTCCTAGGGAGTCAAAATTGCTATTAGTAAAATACCAATATATATACAGCGCTACAAAAACAATATACCAGCAATAACTTTGCCCACACAGCGACATACAGACTGCACTGCCCATCAATGCAGTCTGATTGGGGGGAACTCCGCCCCCTCTCCCTCTTCCACCAATGACCGTCCTTCTCATGTAGAAAAAAAGTAACAGACAGGCAGCGGCGGCAAAAACACCCGGCGGGCCGGATAAATGTCCTCGGCGGGCCGCATGTGGCCCGCGGGCCGTAGTTTGAGGACCCCTGTTGTAGGGCATCGTATGCTCTGTATCAGAAAATCGTGCGATGGTGTTTTCTTGGTATGGAAGAACAATGTCTCTCTCATAATGTCCCTCACCCACCATAAGAAAGCAAGGTCAACAATATTCAGGGCATTGAACCTCCCTGCGTGCTCCCTGCTTTCGTGGAAAGTAAACGTGCGGTATGGCAAAATATAAATGGGTGATGTTCCCACGAATGTAAAAAAAACGATAGACGAAATGCAATGGACTGTAGCAAATAAAGTCTTTAGCAGTATAACATATTATTCAGCATCGCAGTACTACGTATCAGTAAAAAGCATGACGTGAGCAATCGAAACAATATAAATGCATTGAAGAAATAAGCTTAAATAAGTCGACATTAAAGAGCAGTAGTACGCACAACTAAGTTGAGAAGCAGGCTACAGTCTAGATTATAGACTGCCAATGTGCCGACTCAATGACATAAGCATTGTTACAGTCGACATAAAAAGCTGGCAATACAGTCAGCAGCTGAAAAAGCAAGTACACTGAGTGAGGTAAAGAAGCAGGCAACAGATTATAAACTGCCATACACTCATAATGGGTAAAAGCAAAATTAGCAGTGTAGATAATAGAGTGCCAGTGACGTTAATTAATCAGTAGGCAGCAGGTCACAGCACAGACTGGCAGTATACCGTCTCAGCGTCATAAAAAACACAGCTAAAAAAAGGAAATATTTAGCAACCTAATAATGAAAATTTAGTTTAGTGCACACAAACATTATTGTAATATCTGTCAACTTATTTGTTTCATAATAGTAAACAATGAACCTGAGTACTTATCTGCACACAAACATTATTATTGTAATATCTGCCAACTTATTTGTTTCATAATAGTAAACCGTGGTGAGGCCTAGTCCCATGCAGAGCCCGCTGCCTCGCCTAGATTGCTCATCCGGAGGTGACACATTGCCAGGCTGAGGGGCTGGGCCGTTACCCCCCCCACCACCATACCCCCGCCCGCGCTACAATAATACTATCTAAGTGCTATAATATTAGTATCTACCGACCCTATAGTATTTTACTGGTAGGAACCACCTGGTTCCACCAGCCCAAAGGGGATTATTGTGTCCGTCCTGCATCCAACAATGGGAGGGGTGGGGCTGGGTGGAGAGGGGAGGGGCTGGTGGGGAGGGGAGGATGGGGAGGGGCTGGGTGAGGAGGGTGGGGCTGGGTGAGGGGTGGAGAGGTGGGGCTGGGTGGGGAGGGGCTGGTCACCCCGTGGTGCCCTTATAAAACTCAACGTTTAACCTACTCACGCCGGCTTGTGCCCGCCCTCACAGTCGACCATATTTGCGAAATACACCACGCCGCCGTTGACCCTGGCCATTGACTGAACAACCCAACGTTCCTACCAGCTCCCTCCGCAGGAATGTGTTTTTTGCATTTTGAACGCAAAGGAGAAATCCCCCTACCCTCCACTGATGACGTGCGTGGGGACATAAATAAATAAATATCGCACAAAAAACGCTATTTTTACTCATTTAAAGATGACGGACATGGAAAAGGAATAGCCTATGCCAAGCACGGGGCTTACGGCGTGGTACCCGGCTAATTATTTTTTTACGAAAACCCCACAGTTCGCGAGCCAAATCCTTCGCAAGTTGCATGTCCAGAGACAGACAGATGGAAAGATAGAAAGACAAAGAATACCTTGTATAGGTAAGAAGAAAAGATACCAAGATACACTTACGTTTTCAAACATTTGCATTGGTGGAGAAATGATCACTCATGGAAAGTCATATCATATATTTACTTTTTCTGTATGAATGCACGAGGCAAGCAGTTGCATTCTCCATGCAACCCCCTCAATGTGCACTGCCACCCATCACACATACACAGGGCTAGGCACCACACAGTGCACACAGAAACCATATACATTACATAACACACGGTACACCGCACAATACCTACACAGAACACCACGTACATACCATAGAAAGTACGGGACACCAAACACGCATAACACATACAGTATGACACAAGGCAAGGACAAAGATCCCACGTATAGCCTGAACAGACTGTTGTGGCAAGTGCTGTTAGCGAGCACCTATCAATTCCGGGTGGCCAACACCACACCCGGCCGCCTTTGTCTCCCCCAATGGCGATGTTTTTACACACCGCATCAGGTACTCATTTGAGGCTGAGTCGACCTAGGGGAGGACCAGTACCGGTTCAGATAATCGTCACTGGTGCTGGCCGTGAGCAAGAATCGGGTCACCAGGTTCGTAGCTAACCGCTACACTACCGCTCCCCACGACAAAGATCCCCCGTGTAGCCTTCATAGACTGCTGGGGATGGGTAGCCAGCATCACGCCCAGCCGCCTATGTCTCTCCAGTGGCGATGCTTACACACCGCACCAGAGACTAATTCGAGGCTGAGTCTACCTAGGTGAGACCCAGGACCGGTTCAGATAACAGTCAATGGTGTTGAGCGAGAATCGAACTCGGGTTGCCGGGTTCGTAGCGCAGCACGTTGACTGCTCCGCCACTGCTTCCCCATATAGAGTATGACACACCCTACATACAGTATGACACACCCTACATACAGTATGACACACCCTACATACAGTATGATACACCCTACATACAGTATGACACACCCTACATACAGTGCGATACACAGCACATCCGGTGCGGCAAACACACCGTGTACAGGACGACACACACATCGAGCACCACACTCACACACCACATGCAAGCCCGATACACCTCACAGTACGGCACATACTGCAAACAGTAGAACACGTACCACACAGTACGACACATGCACCACTAGCAACGATGCGGCGGTCGCCGCCGCCGCCGCCGCCTCATAAGAGAACGCCACACCACAACACAGGGCACGGCATACACCAAAGATCCCCCGTATATCCATGAGAGACTCCTGGGGCAAGTTAGCGAGCACCTATGAAGGCCGGCACTGTTGGCACACACGGGGGGGGGGGGGACGACGACTCCGTTACCGTCTTGGGCTTCTTCTTGGGCGCCGGGTTGTCGTGGAAAGCCTTCGCGTCCGCGGTACTGAGGGCGGCTGCCTCCTCTACCACAGATGCCGCCAGGCTCGGGGTCCCGACCGAGGCCTCCGCCACCGCCACGGGGCTGCTCATGGCTGTGCTCGGGGTGGTGAATTGCCAACGAGCCGCAGAGACGCGGACGCGACTGCGGCGGCGGCGACGACTCGAGAAGACAACTTGCGGGGATAGGGGGGGAGGGTGCCCGGCCTCGACACGGAGAAAGAAGGCGGAAGGGGTTGTGGCGTGGGCGGGAAGAGCGGCGTGGTGAGAAGAAACCCGAGTGAGAGCTCGCAGGCAGTCGACTCGGTGAGGTGAGGTAATAGGTGAGGCGTGTGTGTGGGATATAGACCCTATTGACGGTATGTGGAGGGAACGAGGTGGGTAGGATGAAAGGAGATGGGGTGGAGGTGTGGAATGGTGAGGGAAGACGAATTGGCGATCGTGGTGAGCAGAAGATGAGGCGATTAGCTTCAAGCGAGTAATATATGTTCAAGGCAGATAAATACAGAGCCGCGATAGATTCTCAAAAAACACGCTTTAAAAAGGGGTTGTCTTCATAAGGTTGATGCGGTAGTCAAACGTGTAAAATGTCGAACTCAAGAAAATGTTCACTCTAATACTTATGAATCCGTACAAATGTTAGTAATACAAAATAGACGTGCTATAACCATCGCTGTGTTGCGAACAGCGTAATAATATCTGTCACTTGTGCATACATTCTGGTAAATAATGGAGACTACTTACTCTCTGCTGCTCACCAGCAAGCGCGCTCCTGAATGTCTCCCCTCCAACCGCCCCTCACTGCCTCCTCCTTGCCAGACGCCCTCCGCCTGTCACTCATTCAACCGTCCACTCCGCCCACTTTCTACTCGTTACAAATCCACCGTATGTAGATAGTATTTATTACACTTTGCAAACAGGTTTTTGGTGTTGTTGCAAATCCAGTGTTTATGGGGTATTTTTTGTTTATTTGAGAGTTTAGATCTGAACAAAGTTTAACACCCACCCTATCAAACGGAGTCTGCTCAAGAATATTAGTGTTTTTTAAAACATGATCTGTATACAACATCATCATGCTTATCAGTTCCTAACTTTTTACAGACCAATTCAGTCAGACCTTATTGGTCACCCGTGCCCTTATACATTTCAATGTTCATCCTACAAAGTCCCATCACAAGGGAGCAACACAAACAAATAGACACAACATTTCGCCCGTATTGAAACGGCTGTACGCTGTATGGACCTGAAAACTAAAATTTCCTGGACAAGAATACGGGTAAACCGTATGGGTTGATAGGTATGCATCATACAAGTTCCTCCCTTGACACCACCTCTCAATGACCCACCCCCCACCTGACAGCCATTCCAGGTACACCCAGCACAGGAATGTTGCTGCCACTACTTCAAGCTACAGCCTGCAGTGCGGTGAGCTGCTGCTGCTGACTCATAGGTTACGTGGGAAATGCCCTCATAGCTTCACGTGCAGCACGATTTTAAAAATTACTACTGTTTGTAGCCTCACGTTCCCGTGGACTCAGCTCATTGATTTCTCCACCCATGTGGAGGACTCGGTCGAGAGCAGACACCGACTGTCTATCATCTCCATCCACACCTTGTTCAATCGCCACACCTAAAGGTCACAACACAAAATACAAAGATCGCCCCCATATAGCCTGTAACAGAGCGCCTATGAAGGACGGCACAGCACACAAGGGCGTGGGTGACCAACACCACACCCAGCCGCCTTTGTCTCCCCAGTGGCAATGTTTACACATTTGTAAGTATCCTGACATACTTTTGCACTGTACGTAGTCAACCGTGCTAATCGACTGAGTAGACCTAGGGGGGAAGCCCAGGACTGATTCAGAAAATCCTAACTAGTGTTGACCGTCAGCGAGAATCGAAACCGGGTCACCAGATTCGTAGCGCAGCACAGTAACCGCTGCACTACCGCTCCCCACTCTCACACAACAACATCCGCCTTTCATCACTAAGTAGCAGTGTTGTCACCATGGCGCCTTGTGCCAGGCTAGGTGCAGTCGAAGGCCAGGTGAAGTGTCGAATGGAAGGTCACGGGACAGAGCCAGGTTGGGTTAACTGAAATGGATGGCAAATGCAACACCGGTACCCCTTTCTGTGCCAACGTGCTTTATTTTATCCGCCCGGTACTCTGGCCGTTGTTGTGAGCATCGTTCTCCGTTATTGCTGCCTCCAACTGCCCAGTAGCATCCTTTACGAGCCTCCTCCACATAGGCCCATTTTTCCACAGCTTGTACCAGTCATCAATAACGATTTAAAGCTTTCGTGACTGCAGGAATCCATACTCTTTGGTTTTTTCGGTAAAGTCATGTAAAAATAAAATTAAATAAATCACGACGTTTCGATCGCAACACAAGCGACCGTCATCAGGTGGAACAGATACAACAGGAGAACTGCTGACATAGGAGAAGGAGCTGCTGCAACAAGAGTTTATATAGGATTTTGGTGGGCTCAACTTAAGGGTAAGTGGGCGGAGCTAGAGAAGGCATTTGTACGTAAATGTGAGAGATTAGCATGTCAATATGAGACGGTCCCAGCCACCAGAGGTGGCGGGGATCCTCCTGTGGCTGGGCCACCTCACATGTATTTAACCTGGTGATGTACACAGAGAGTCGGAAATAATAGCTGACATAGGCAGGTAGGATGGACACATCACAGTCAGTTAAGACTTTACTTGGTTAATAACGTCCTTCCAATGATTGCTCAGTTTGTACCCAACTCGGTTGAAGTTCTGTCTGTGTTTATATATCTGGATGGCTTCATGAACAAATCTCTGAAGGTAGCCGGTAGGTTTGCAGAGTACCTCCGTCTTGTAAAAATCAATTTCGTGTGAGCCCACAGCATTAAAACAATGATCAGAAATGGCAGAGGTATTGGTCCTACCGTGTTTAAAATTTGCCTTGTGTTCACGATCGTGGTCCGAGACATGTCGTTTCGTTTCCCCAATGTAACTGCTGCCGCAACCACAACTCAGTTTGTAGACACCAGGCCATTGCATGTCAGGAAAACATTCGCTACCACTTGTGATAAGGGAGAACCCATTGGGGTACCCTCATTTTGTTTGTAGAATGTACCATTCCAGGTGAAGTATGTGTTGGTAAGGCAGTGCCTTACCAAAGTTGGTACATCTGGATTGAGTCTTTGTTGGACCAAGTCTTCAATTATTACAATGGTGTCAGGTACAGGTACATTGGTTAACAGAGAGGCTTTCTCGAAACTGACAAGCAAATCATCTGGAGACAGTGAGATGTCCTTGATTAGAGAAGCCAAGTGAGCTGAGTTAAGTATAGCTGAGGTGGACTTGCCCGTGAAAGGAAGCAGGGTCTCAGAAAGAAATCGGGCCAGTTTGTAGGCGGGTGAGTTAATGGTGGAGACGATAGGACGGAGCGGGGTACCTACTTTGTGGAATTTTGGAAGGCCATAAAATCTGGGTGGTCTAGCAGCCGAAGGTTTTAGGGAGCTCTGCTTGGTCTGATCGATTAGAGAAGTCGAATTAGTGATGATATTGTTGGTTTTTCTGGCTAGGCGGTTGGTGGGATCTATGTTGACTTTGGTATAGCTGCCATCATTAAGAAGGTCCTGAATTTTGTTGCAAGTTGTTTTATCCATGATGTCAGTGGAATTGCCCTTGTCGGCTGAGATGATGACAATGTCATCTCTGTTTTTTTATTTAGAGAGTTCAAAACGCTCGTCCTTGCTCATGTTGCTAATGTGTTTCTTAGCCTTTTTGAGGATAGCAGCTATTTCAGATCTAGCAACGTTTTCCGGGATGTGTCCCAAGCCTTTGAGGACTACGTCGACCTGGGCAATTATATCATCCACTAGGATGTGTTTAGGGGTGACTGTAAAATTCAACCCTTTAGCTCATACCGATTTTAGGCTGTCGGAAATTGGGATGTTACTATGATTGATGACAATCTTGTTAACATACTTCACCTGGAATGGTACATTCTCCAAACAAAATGAGGGTACCCCAATGGGTTCTCGCTTATCGCCAGTGGTAGCGAATGTTTTTCTGACATGCAATACCCTGGTGTCTACAAACTGAGTTGTGGTTGCGGCAGGAGTTACATTGGGGAAACGAAACGACATGTCTCGGACCGCGTTCGTGAACACAAGGCAGATCTGAAACATTGTAGGACCAATACCTCTGCCGTTGCTGATAATTATTTTAATGCTGTGGGCTCACACGAAATGTATTTTTTCCAAGATGGAGGTACTCTGCAAACCTCCTGGCTACCTTCAGAGATTTGTTCATGAAGCCATCTAGATATATATATACACAGACACAACTTCAACCGAGAGGATGGGTACAAACTGAGCAATCATTGGAAGGATGTTATTAACCAAGTAACGTCTTAACTGACTGTGATGTTTCCATCCTACCTGCCTATGTCAGCTGTTATTTCCGACTCTGAGTACATCACCAGGTTAAATATCTGTGAGGCAGCCCAGCCACAGGAGGATCCCCCGCCACCTTCGGTGGCTGGGACCGTCTCACATTGACATGTTAATCTCTCACATTTACATTTATGTACAAATTCCTTCTCTAGCTCCACCCACTTACCCTTGGGTTGAGCCCACCAAAATCTGATACAGTAAAACCTTGGATTGATACAGTAAAACCTTGGCATTGTTGATGAACCCACAATATCAAAACTGGTCCAGAGTTTGCTTGCGTAAACAAATGGTGTCGTATAGAATTTGTCCATAATCTTTTTTCTTACCAGGTGAGGCCTACTGAGTTACACAGCTCTTTTTCAGAAGCGACCTGGCCACAAATGATAGCTCAATGAAGTTGCTTATCATGTGGAATTCATAGCAGCCAAATACTCTTTAACACATGTTTCTAAATGTGGAGGGAAAAAAAATGTGTTGACATTAGCAGAACACGTAAACCAATTACAACATTTACATATTCAAAATCATTAATTCCTCAATACACAATTATCATAAGCTTAGATATTCAACGTCATATATATAGTAAATGGTTAGATCACATGTTGGTTACTTTACAATTCAATTTGTGGTGTACAGTCAGGTGATAGATATTCTTGGATTAAATCGAGTAAATATGTTTCGTTAAACCTGCCACCACCCGACACAACCAATTGGTAAAGTTTGTCAGTAAAAAAAACATGCCAATTCGTTACTAGTTCAGTACGTGTAGTGGTTTAACGCGCACCAAGGGGGGTAATTGTAAACACGGGTTGGGAACAGTGGGGTCGTATCGGGACATGCTGTTGTTGCTGGGGGACAACGAGTGAGACAGAGACGGCCCATTGGGCAATTATAGATGCAGGGCAGTGATTGACCGGTTGTTGTTGTTGGGGACACGGTGGCGCCTCTAAGTCTGGGAAGGACGACAGGTGGTGGTGGGGGCCAGGGGCGTGGGGCGTCGGGGGGACGCCAGTTAATTAATTGGAAATTAATAGGGACGGGGATAAATAGAGGGGCATCAGAGAGAGACGGGGAGTTGCGCCTGGGAGCTGGACGGAGACGGTCGGAGCAGAAGAAGAAGATACAAGAAGAAGTACAGAGTAGCAGTGGAGTAGAAGAAGAAGTGTAGGGTAGCAGCGGAGTATAAGAAGAAGTATAGGGTAGCAGTAGAGACGGAGACGAGGAAGATACGGAAGGTAGAATAGGGGAGCGGTGGAGCAGCGGAAGAAGAGGTGACGAGAGGATGGATAGGCCAGCAGTGTAACGGGAACAGGAGAGTCAGTCGGGATGAGACGGAGAAGCCGAGAGAGAGAGCGACAGCTGGAGTGAGATGGAGAAGCCGAGAGAGAGTGACAGCTGGGGTGGG